AGGGCAGCCAGGTGCAACTAACCAGTAAGACAAATACTCCCCAGGGCAATGAGAGAATTGTGTTCTGTGCTTGCAAAAGCCCTTCCACCTGGATTCCAGAATGCAGCCAGCTGCAACCAGATGGCCTTTCGGGATCACAGACTGAGCTGAGGTCCCAGATTCCTGCCAAAGTGGATGAAGGTAGGCTACCTGGGAGAGAGGAGGTGGTTAGGATCTGCTTTTTTTCCTGCTTCAGGCAGACTCTCTGAAGTGGTCACCTTTTTTTTTTTTTTTTTGATCTTTTTGAGACAGGGTCTCCCTGTAGCCCCAGCTGTCCTGGAACTCACTATGTGTACCAGGCTGGCCTTGAACTCACAAAGATCCACCTGCCTCTGCCTCCCAAGTGCTGGGATTAAAGGCATGTGCCACCATGCCTGGTTTAAAGTGGTCATCTTTAGTCACCTGTCCTACACAAGCTTCACTGAGTGAGGGAATCTACTGCCCAGAGTCCCAACCAGGTTGGGCTCTGCCAACAACAGGCAATACAACTATCATGTGGAGCCAAGAACAAAGCTTCAGAGTGAGGCTTCCTGCACCCAAAATCCCTGTCCCACCACAACCGGGTGCTGGGCCACAGCACTTACATGGCATGTTTGTGCTCAGTTTCCCCATCTGCTAAATGGGATCATCACGGGATGAGTGGAGATTAGACAGGTGAGTGTATGGAAAGCACTCACAAGACTGGCCATATGGAAAATGCCAGTAAGTGTTGGCTGTGGTCATATCAACTGTCACCCAGGGTACAGTGGGTATTGCTGCCTCCTGTTTGAGCCAGAGGCCTCAACCAGAGCCAGGAGGAGGAGGAAGAGTCACTGGGAGACAGGAGCGGGTCAGCCTCTCTGTAGACAACCCCCTGTCTTGCCAGCTGGGCCAGAGCTTGAAAATTCTGACACCCTTATCTTGACAGATGCCTGCAGGGTGCTGTGCATACTAGACAAGCACTCTACCACTGAGCTACACTCCTGGCCCCAACATTACCTAAACTATAAGAAATCCTAGGAATTGTTTGTATTTGAGACAGGGTCTGCCTGCATAGCCCAGGCTGGCCTTAAACTCTCAATACTCCTGCCTCAGTCTCTTAAGGACTAGGATTATAGGCATGTGCCACCCTGTCCAGAACAAAATATTTTTTATTGAATTTTTGGTATTTCATACATAAAATCATCTTTATACACACTTCCCCTTTGCCATCCTCCCATAGCCCTCCCACTGGAGTGCATACATTCTGTCATTTGTATTAAGGCCTGTTATGTAAAGTTAGTGCCCCCAGACGTCCCTCAATGCAAATTCATCCACTGGGGTTTAGTCAGCCTATCTACAGTCTCTCCCTTCAAAAAGATCTGCTCTTCCTCACCCAGCAGTAATCAGCTGCCAATAATTCTTGGACTAAAATTGGGGCCTGCTGTCCATTTCCACAGTTCTGTGCTGGGTTTTTGTCTGCCTAAGTTTGCATGGGTCCTGTACTTGCTGACACCATTGCTGTAGGTTTGTATGAGAAGTGTCCCAGGACCATTTCCGTATGGTCATGCACCTCCTCCCTGGCTCTTACACTTTTTCCTCCCCCTCTTCTGCAATGGTCCCTGAGCCCTGGATGGGTGGGCCTCAATATAGGAGACCTGTCCAAAGACCCACACTCTGCAGATTCTTATTCTCTGCATTTTGGCCATTTGTGGCCTTTTGTGTTCCTGGCCTTCTGTTGTATGAGGGAGTTTCATTGATAAGAACTGAAAGATGCATTAGTATAGAACAAAGTATTTTAGTTTGTGTTTTTGAGGTAAAAGATCTCATATAGCCCTGGCTGGCTAGCCTTGAATTCCAAATAGCTGAAAATGGCCTTGAATTATACAGCCATCTGCCTACACCTCCCAAGTGCTAGGATTACAGGCATGTGCCTCCACACCAGATTTCAAAATTGTTTTCTTTCTCTCTCTCTCTCTCTCTCTCTCTCTCTCTCTCTCTCTCTCTCTCTCTCTCCTTTCTTGACAAGATCTCCCTATAGCCCAAGCTAGCCTGGAACTCACTATGTAAACCAGGCTGGCCTCTTTCACAGAGATCCACCTGTGTCTGCCTCCTAAATGCTGGGATCAAAGGGGTGGGCTACCACTCCTGATGATTATTTTTATTTTTTTGAAACAGGGTCTCCTTATGTACTGCTGTCTGACCTGGAACTTGTTATGTAGAACAGGCTGACCTCAAACTCTGCTTCTTTCTGCTTCCCAAGCATTGGGATTGAAGCTGAGCACAGCATGACTGGTTCAAAAATTGTATTAAAGGGAATTTATTAGGCTTGTGGTGGTGGCGCACGCCTTTAATCTCAGCACTCAGGAGGCAAAGGTTGGTGAATCTCTGTGAGTTTGAGGCCAGCCTGGACTACGTAGTGAGATCCCGTCTCAAAAAAAAAAAGAGGGTCAGGAGAGATGGCTCAGCAGTTAAGAGTATTGACTGCTCTTGCAGAGGACCCGGGTTTGATTTCCAGCACCCATATGATGGCTACGAACTATTCTTAACTCCAGTTCCAGGGGAATTCAACATCCTCTTCTGACCTCCTTGGTATTGCACGACATGGGTGCACTCACACACATGCAGGCAATATACTCATACACATAAAATAAAAATAAATAAAATATTTTAAAAAACCAAAAAGGAGGAGCAGGAGAAAGAGGAGGAGGAAGAGGAAGAGAAAGTTATTAGAAATCTTTTTAGCTAAGGACCATGGCACCTACCTGTTGTCCCCACTGCTTGAGGGGTTGAAGTGGGAGGATCACTTGAACCCAGAAACATGGGGCTAATCTGGCAACAGTGAAAAGAAAAACAGCAGCAACAAAAACAAAAGCTCTTGGTCCAAAGCACTCTAAGACATTAGAAATCAAAAAGCGCGGTGTTCTTTCTCCACAGAACTCAGTCTGGTCAAGGATTGAACAGTGAGTGCAGAAATGACAAGGACGGCTCCAGGTGGGCCTCGTGTCTGTGTTTCACAGATTTGAGTAGAGATAATTGCAGAGGGAGCCACTATTTTTTTTTAAATTTTATGTATATGTGTGTATTGCCTGCATGTAGATAAGTGTGCCCGTGTTGTGCAATGCCTGCGGAAGTCAGAAGAGGCTGTCGGATCACGGACAGTTGTTAGCTGCCATGTAGGTGCTGGGATTTGAGCCAGGGTCTTCTGCAAGAACAACCAGTGTTCTTAACAGCTGAGCCATCTCTCCAGCCCCAGGGAGCCACTATTGAAGACAGGGGGGTTCAGCCCCACAGTACCTGCCTGTTTTTCAAGTCTCCTAAAGGGAATGAGACTTCCACCTACAGGATCAAGGATGGCTGAAAGTGCAAGTGAATCAACATAAACAGGAAGTACCTACTGGAACCCACCTGCCCTGCCAGGCCCTCTCCCCATGCAGCAGCTCCGCAGCACACACACTTCCCTAAGTTCAGCCTCCTTAGGCTGCCCATTCTTGTGTGTGTGTGTGTGTGTGTGTGTGTGTGTGTCCATGCTGTATGCTCACAGATGTTCCCAGCCACAGAGGGACTCTGAGGAGGCTTCCACACATGTGGTTGACTGGCCTGGCATCTCTAAGGTGCCACTCCTCAGCAAAGTGCCCTTGTCCTGCCCTCCTACCCTGCAGGGGCCTCTCGCCTCAAGCCTTTGTGTCCGTCCCTGGATGCAGCTTCCACCCTTCTGTGGCATCTCTATTCTAATTACCATTCCCTGGGCCTTGCTCAGGCCCCTCCAGCTTGCTGGGACTCAGTGCTCCCATCCCTACAATGAATGTCTGGTTTCCCAACCTAAATGTCTGGTTGTTCAGGGAGGGCTTAGGCTCAAACTCAAAGCCTTGTGCAGGCTGAGGTCTACCTTGAGCTATACCCTCCAACCTCCTTTGAATGGCATACTAATCTATCCTTACCCACTTTAGTGCTCTATTGTTTGTTTGTGTCTTACTATCCTGGGATGAACCCAGGGCGTTGCACATGCTGGGCAAGTGCTCTACCATTGAGCTACACAAGCAGGCCCACTTTGATGTCTGTTAAATTTTTAAAGAATATTTTATTTTTATTATCTTTATTTTCATGTGTGTGTGTGTATTGCCTGCATGTATGTAAGTGCACCCATGTTATGCAATACCCTCAGAGGTCAGAAGAGGGCTTCAGATTCCCCTGGAACTGGAGTTAAGGACAGTTCACAGTTGCCATGTGGGTGCTGGGACTTGAACCCGGGTCCTCTGCAAGAGCAGCCAGTGCTCTTAACCACTGAGCCATTTCTCTAGCCCTTAAATTTTATTTTATTTTATTTTTGTCTTTTTGAGACAGGGTCTCCCTATAGCCCCAGCTGTCCTGGAACTCACTATGTAGACCAGGCTGGCCTTGAACTCACAGAGATCCGCCTGCCTCTGCCTCCTGAGTGCTGGGATTAAAGGTGTGCGCCACCACGCCCAGCCTAAATTTTAGTTTTTAATCCACATACAAAACAATTTTCCTTATGGTCTTTTCTTTGTATGCCTCTGTGTGGTGTATGTATATCTATCTGTGTGTGGATATGTGTATATGTGTGCCAGAGGTCAACATTCACTGTCTTCTTCGGTCACTCTCACCTTATTCTCTGCGGCAGGGTCTCTCCCTGAACCTGGAGCTGACCAGTCGGCTACACTGGCTGACCAATAAGCTCTAGGGATCTGCCTGTCCCCATCACACCAAGTGCTGACCCTGGCTTTCTACCTGAGTGCTGGGGATGCAAACTCATGCTTCTGCCGCAAGCACCTTACCAACTGTACCATCTCCCCAGCCCCTATGGGGTCTTTCCTCCCCCTACTTCCCAGCTTATGCCCTTCCACCCCCAGAATTTCCTTTACAACTTTAATGTCACATGTGCTTTATTATTTCCCCCCACTCTTTTCCTCCTCTCATGGGCCCCTTTCAGTGACATGTATGTACTCACGTCCACATAAATATACATATACAAAAATTAGAAGAAAAATACAGAATGCATCTCAGATTTGCTTGTTATCCTTGTGCAGGGCCCATGCCGATCTCTGTCTCATTCCATTTTAGTATATGTGCTGCTGAAGTGAGCACTTTAATGTTTTATATGAGTTGTGTGCCCCCCTTTTCTCTCTAACTTCCCCTTACAGGAAGCCCTCCTTGACCAATTCCATGAACATGCCCTGTGTGTGCTCAGTTCTTATGGTACAAAATAGTCGTCCTGCAATGCTGGCACCAAGGATCATAAGGGTTAGCCCACTCACTGCCCCAAATGTCCACACCCTCAGTAAAGCAGAGCTTAAGGGAGAAACAGTGCTTCCAGGCAAATTGTTGAGTCACCCTTTCCCCACCCTGCAGTCAGATCATCTAGAAATCTGTACCTGTTGTGGTCTGCCTCCAGGTGCCCAGGTTCCGTACCTATTAGGGCTCTCTTAGCCTGATCTACCTGTGCTAAAGAGGGATGTTTGACTGTGATATTCCTCAAATGTGTCCTTCCCTCACAGGATTTTATTAGGGTAGTGATATTATTTGGTGACCAAGTAACTCCTTTGTAAATTGCTGAGGCTTTCATGCGCGGTAGCCCAGTTTGTTTAGAAAGCATTCCAAGGGTAGACAGGGCAGGTATCATTACTCCATTCGAAGGATGTGGAAACCAAGCCCCTTGGGAGGGCTAGCATTCCGCATATGGTGAGTTAAGCAAGACCACAGGTACACCCACCTGCCCCATCCTGTGGCCCTCAGTCTCAGACTTGGAGCTGCTTTGTTTGCCAGCTTAGGCTTTAATCCAGTCCAGTGTCACTGCAGCTCCAGGCTGCAGGGGAGCCAGAATAAGCAGATTTGATTTATAATCTCACTGACATGGCTGGGTCAGAGTGCTGCCAAGCTGAGGAAGTTTAGTTCTGCATCCAGCCTGTACCTTCCCTGCTTGCTGTCTCTAGTTCCTCAGCATACCCCTACCTCTTCTGGGAGCCCAAAGTTGGCCATGGGGTGAGGGTGTCCCAGGCAGATGTTTTTCTTCCTCAACATTGTTCTATTGTGTGCTGAGAGCCTGTCAGGCTCTCAGCAGAGTTGGGGAAACATTTCCGGAAAGGAGTGACCCATTATGAATGCTGAAGCTTTTCCAAAGTTCTGCCATTTCTTTGGGTTGGCTGGGCTGCAAGGTTAGAAGGAATGAAGTGAAGACTCTGGACTCCCTGGAGGTCAGCTTCAAATAAAGGACCTTGGTAGACCAAGAGTTTGCCCAAGAGGTCTTCCAGACTGGACCTGTGACCTATGAGGGGCTTAGGAATGGGAAGTGGAGGAGACCTGACAGGGAGCTGGTAGACAGATTGACACATGCACAGCTGGGGGTAGCAAGAGAGCCAAAATTGAATTGTATTTTATTCAGAATTCCTGACCCCTAACCTGAGCTGGCTCCCACCTGAGGATGGGAAATGACCTGGTCACTTTTAAAAACTCCACAGAATCTATCCCAGAGGAAGTGGAAATTCAGAACTGTTTTGAAGCAGCTCAGTGTTTGCCAGTGGGTGGGTAATGCACACTGCTGTTAGCTGGTTTGCGACTGTTTCCCCATAGAAGGTATTTGTGTCTGTATCTCTCTTTTATCACACCAGGCTGAGGTGAGTACTTTCTGGAGGCTGATTAGCCACTGTGAGGATTAGCTCACAGCAAGACCAACAAATTACACAATACCTATTTCTTAAAGATGAGGAAATAGTCTCCCAGAGGTTAGGAATCATTCCAGGCCACACAGCTACTTTGTGGCAGAGCTGAGATTTGAACCCAAGTCTATAACACTCCAAAATCCACATTCTACAGCAAAGTTACTCAAATTTCAGCGCTTAAGACAAAACTGGGTGCTGGTAGAACATGTGTTTTCTTGGCTCTGTCCTCTCTGCACATGGACGTAATTAACGAAGGAGATTCACACAGGTGATTCGGAAGTGATTGCATCACAAGTTAAGGAACCTGCCTTAGGGACTGTTTAGGACCTCAGCCAGAGAGCACAGCCTGGTCAGGGAACTTGTAAGTCCCAGGCTGACAGCCCTCAGTAGCTTTTCCAGGGAGGGAGAAAAGCAGCTGGTCCTCAGTGCACATGTCTGGTAACTTTTCATTCCCCACCACCCTGAAAACTATACCTAGACCACAAAATCAGGACCAAAAGGACAATTTGCCCGTGCTCAGATATTTATGCTGTGCTGGCCGCTGCCATGAGGAAGAGCTCGGGGCAGAGCTTCTTGAAGGCATGGGAGCAGGTTCCTCAGATCTAGGTGTGCAGGGACCTCCTGTTTCATACTGTCAGGGTGTCCTATGCACAGCTCTGGGTTCCACCTCGGGCTTCCAGTGTCAAAATCTTGGGGGAAGGTGACTCTCATTTAAGTCTCCTGGGCACTTCTACAGCAAATGAAAGTTCGAGAAGGAAAAGAACTAGGCATAGCTTTGTGGTCCTGAGTGTTAAACCGGTCTACTGAGCTGTAAGCTACAGCACTCCCAGGGGATCTGCTGGATTTGTGAGAAAGCCCCAGATGAGAGCTCTGGATTTGAGTTCTGCTTAGTCACTCTGTGATCCTGGGTGACTGAGTCTCATTGGACCTAGTCCTTCACATGCCTGATGAAATAAGCTGTACCCAGCAGCACCACTGCAGCACTCTGTGAAGTTCAGTGGACTCCAAGCAACCTGGAAACTCCTTCCTAGATGCTTTAGGAAATACCAACAGAGGGCTCAAAGGAGGCTCAAGCTGGTTCAGGCCCACCTTACCCTATTGGGGAACTGAGAGCTGGGTTTAGAGTGAGTGATTAGAGCTCAGAATCATAACCCAGGACTCAGGTAGGGTGCCATCAAGCACTTTCAGAGGATCAGGAGACAGTATAACCCTGGCAAGGACAGCCTTGTGTTTAAGGGGACAGGCTCATATTCTCACTGGACAGCTTGTTAGCTGAACTACCTTGGGCTACTTACTCTGCCTCTCTGTGCCTTAGTATCCTTATGTGTCAAATATAAATATAATAAATATACCCACTTCTTGACCCAGGAAAGGCACTCAAAACATGCTCAGCATATATTAAGTAGCCTAAATATTAGCCATGCATGTATATTAATGGAAAGATTTTGAGTATAGAGGTAATCTTGAGTTTCTGGGTCCTTGACACATGTTAGCACTGGGTGCCCTGACTGGGGGTGATGGTAAAAACATGGAGTCAGTTCTCAGGTGGGACTTCCCCTTTTGGTAAATCTTCCTGTGAATAAGGGTCAGGGTGAGTTGGCACTGACTAGATTAGAGGGCATTTCCACCAGTGTCTCTTAAGCCAGGCTTCTGGTCCATAGACTCAGCTTCCCTGTGCGTGGAGGGTGGGGTGTGGGAAGGAGACAGGCAGGGCAGATTGTGAATCACCAGATCTTTGCACCTGAGAAACTAGGGAAGAAATGGAATTCTCTGCCAGCTCTGTCCTGTGTGAGTCCAAGAGGTCACGACAATCTTCCTCCCTGGTGGAGAAGTGCTCCTAGGCTGGCTCCCTGCTCCGCTCTCTTTCGTTCTGCTCCATTTCCTTCTCAGTGGAGGCTGGAAAGGTTTCTGGGAGGGATATAGAAGTCTCTGGGGCAAACATTATGACTATTCTCCCAGCCCTACCTTTTCTACAAAAGAAGCTCCCCCCTTGCCACCTCAGGCAGGCCAGCCATCCTTGGAGAATCCCTTCCCCTCAGCATAGGCCACTGGGTGATGAATGGTACCCAATTGAGGGTGTGAAGATGCTGCTCTGTCTGAAGGATGCTGCTAAGGGGCTTGGGTATGGCTCAGTAGAGCGTGAAAGGATCTGACATCCATCCTAGGGAGGAAGAGAGGGGGAATAAAGGGATGGAAGGATTAAGGAAGATGGAGAGACAAGGCCAGGAAAGGGGAGGGTAGGAGAAGGAGGGATGAGGGAAGGAGGAGGGCGGGGAGGCAGGCAGCTGGGTGTTAATAGTGCATGCCTATAATCCCAGCACTTGGGAAGCATGAGGATCAGGAGTTAGAAGTCAGGCTGGGCTACATGAAATCCTGGTGTGTATGTGGGAGGAGGGTAAGGGAGAAGGGAAGAAAAAAACTCTCTGTTAATTCAATAGTTATGGGGGGCTAGGGTAGCTCAGTGATAGAGAACATGCTTCCCATGGTCTTGGATCCATCCCCCTCTACCACCAAAGAATTACACTAACTAGGCCCCAGCAAGCAGTGAAAACAAACTGCAGACACATTGGGCAGAACACCAAGTTCACACCCCAGGCACTCTGACAGGAAGTGGTGTGGTGTGGGGAGCCAGCTCTACCACAGTAAGGCTCTTAACTCACCCATTTGCCAGAGGTGGAGGAAGCAGTAGGGTCTGGCTAGCCCACGATCATGGTGGGAACTCATCCTTATCCTGAGTCAGGGCCTGGCCTCTCGCTTGCAACACAGTGATTCACACCCACCAGGTCCACACAGGAGGAATCCAGGCCAGCAGGAAAGAGAAAGAACAAGGCAAATAATGGGGGGCGGGGTGAAGAACACCACTGATGCTGTCTGGAAGGCAGTGTCATTTGGACTGAACCACCTAAAGGCTGGGCATTTCTGCAGGACCAGGCCCTCCCAGGGACCTCATAACCTCCTTGTGGGGAGGCTAGGGGATGACAGAAAGGACAAAGAGGCGAGCAGTGACCTCTACTGCATGTGGCAGAGGCACTGTGTAGCAGTGTGGGCAGGGATGGGGGCACTGTCATTTTCTACTGACTGTTAGAAACTATATGTTTATCATAAAAAAATTGGTGTAGTGGTATATACCTTTAATCCTTGGGATTTGAGAGGCAGAGGCATGCAGGTCTCTGTGAATTTGAGGTCAGTCTGATCTACATTGTGAGTTTTAGACCAGCCAGTGCTACAAAGTGAGATCCTGCCTTAAAAGAGAGCTAGAGAGAGAGAGAGAGAGAGAGAGAGAGAGAGAGAGAACACACACGCTTGGGGTGTGGCTCAGTTGGGGGCGGGCTTGTCTAGTGAATATGAAGATCTACATTGTGAGTTTTAGACCAGCCAGTGCTACAAAGTGAGATCCTGCCTTAAAAGAGAGCTAGAGAGAGAGAGAGA